TCTAGAGAAGTAATGTGTTATAATTATAGCACATCATTCAACCAAACTCACACATCAAAAACCTTACAAAACGAAAAGAAAGAACTCAAGAATTAATAGCAAAACTCACAAGAAATGCTTTAGTCGTTTTTTAAGGGTTAAAACTCTTGCCAGCTGCACAAACACTTGAAGCAGAACCTGTCTAATAAGATTTAGCAGGAATTGCTTCATCTTTTTGTTCATAAACTTCTGAGTTACACTTGTGTTCATTTAAGGATACTGTGACTCTTTCTTCTCGCAGNATTTTCTGTTAAAGTTAACGAAAAATAACCGCTAGATGTCATTTAATTGAATAATTTGTAACTTGTGTCTTTCTATTGAAAAACTTTGAAAACTTTTAAACCGTAATTATAATATCCGTTATTGTTAGTTATGGACTTGATAAAACTTTTATAATTAAAAGAATTTAAATGTGTTATACTTAATGACAGAAGTTGGTATTATTTATCCATTTGATTTTGAGTTACCATCTTCTAATTGACATGCTAACTAATTAATTATGATACCATTATAACAATTTTTTATTTAATCAAATAAACGTTTTTGGTTATGTCTTCACTCAAATCGTATTTACATTAGTCTCACCAGAATATTAATTTTAGTTTAATATGTTATATCTAAAGACCGTTTGATTTTGATTGACTTAAGTGAACTACGTCTCAACAATAGAAATATTTTGGGGGGTTTGGTTTAGGGAATTATGTTATTTATTGTCAATTAAATAAAATAATGTTTTATCTACCAAACAACAATGTACCCATTCACCTAAAATTTTTTAATATTGATTACTCATTTCACCTAAAAGTTTTGAATAATACTTTGGGTACTAATGAATGAGTACTAATATGTGTACTAATTAAAGCATAGTACTCGTACTATACGCATAGTACGGGTACTATGCTTTAGTTAGTACACAAATTAGTACTCATCCATTAGTACCCATAGCATCACTCAAAAGTTTTAATGAAATTGAAGATTATTTTATAATAAATTGATGTAACCTTTCATTATCATTTTCCGTCACACTTCCACATACTTGGTAAAACTCTTATAATTCACTACATATCTTCATAATTGTCACACAAATTAGTTGATAAAGATAACACTTGGGCAATAATCTCATCTTTTAATTCAAATTATTACTCTATTTGGTTCATTATTCTAACACTTTTTATAATGGTATTTTAAAAAAAAATAAAGTTGAGTTGAATTGAATTATTTTTCCGAGAAAATATAATCGTTAATGTTTTAAGTTGAAAGAATAAAATTGGATTCGGAAGAATATTAAAACTAATATATTTCTTGTTTTTCAAGGTAAAAAAGGATAGTGAACATTATAAATGTGATTTTCATGGTCAACACCTACTATACTATGAACAACTATAGGTATATAGGTTGTAAATTTTAATTCATTTAAGGAGTGTTGTACGTGGAATGGTAGGTTGCAGAATCTCAAGTTCAAAGAACTTCTCCTTCTTCCATTAATACTTTATATATATACATTAGCCACTTGACTTGTGGTTGCAAAGTCCAAAACATTGCATCTATTTGTGTCCTCTTAAGCAACTAGGGTTTAACAGAGATCAAATTTTGGCACACAGATTCAACCATTCTGGTATCCTTGTTATCTAACTTGAATAGATTTCCACGTTTAAATCGAACATATCAATCTTTTGATATTTGTTGTGCCTAAAAAATCGCACTGATATCAACACCAACCAATCAGAGTTTAGAAAGGCTTTGTACCGTCCAGGAGTTGTCACATCACCCCAAGACAGAAGAGATGCGACTTTCACCAACCCAACAGATTCAAGTTTTGTCTATGAGTGGCTGTGAACCGCACACTTGTCACAACTTTATCAAAATAAAAAGATAAGGATTAAGGAGTGGTCCCCACGTGTCATAGCAACTTGCAGAAGCACTTATTACATTGACTTCAAATGTGTATAAATTAGTACTCTCTTCATGAAAGAAGGGGTTAGACATATGAGAGCTAGACATATATTTGAACTTCATTATTTCTCTCTGTAAGCAAAATATTTCTTCATCTTTGTATATCTTACGGGCAATATCATAGAAATAGTCAGAGAATAATAAAATAACAGTGGATGTATGAGTTGCTTTAAGCATCCGAACCACTATAAAAACCTCTCTTGTCAGTCTATTATTTATGTTTCTGCAACATATATAATCTCAACACCATATTCAAATTTCATGGATCCATCATATGTAATTTCTAAGATTCTCTTAGCATTTTGCACGTGCAAGTCGTTGGTGTCCAAAATCAAGCATCAACAATATTGAATAAATAAAAGACAACAACAAAATTGATTTCTCAACTACTGAACCAGTACTAAGAAGAATTCATATTCATTTATAATAGCCCAGTCTCAGGTTTTTTCTTAATTTTAATAAAAGTGCAGTTCACATGCTTTTTCTTTCACGTTTTTTAATGGATTCGTGTGAGAGTATACAATTTAATATAAAATCTCTGTAGCAGAAGGATTAAATGAATCTACATAGATTACAAAGATCATCAAGTGAAATATTTCCAACCTTGGAAAATTCCAAATTAATGGCCCGCCCTACTACCTCTAAGGGCAAGTCGTCCCTTCTCTAAAATTTTCTAAAGAACAAAAATAAGTCCGTTTGTTTTAGTATTTTGGATAGTATTTTTAGAAAAGTAAGAGTTGGGTGGAAATAATGAGGTAAGATTTAAAAATTAACAAAAACACTCTCTAGGTTTGTTAATTTACTAAACACTCATATAATAAAACATTAAAAATTAACAAAACACCTCATCCACCCATTAAATACCGACAGCCGGCCACCATTGTCAGAGGATGGTCGAAGTCGCTGTATTGACACATGACCGGTTGGATCTAACCGATCGTGCGCCGGTATGGCCTTTTCCGGTGGATCTGACCGAAAAAGATCATATCTATAGCTAGATCTGGCTGGTCGTCAACGACGGTCGAAAAAGGTTAGATCGGCGCACTACAGACAATATCCAGCTGATAGTGCGTCATTATACCAGATTTTGGCCACTTGTCAGCGGTTGTGGCCGGAATCTGGCAAATGTGGATGGATGGGGGTGTTTTTGTCAGTTTCTAAACTTTTTTTTTTTCGTGTTTAGTTAAATTAACAAACCTAGAGAGTTTAAAATTAATAAAATAAAATAAAATATGATTTTCAGAATAGAGAAACAAATATGTATTTTGGGTAGGATAGAGATAAGATAGTGAAAAGTAATTAAACAAACGGACCTATAATGTTTTATTAAATTGGTATTAATATAATTATTATTTTTTTATTTCTTTTTACAGATATTTGATTATTAAAGGTTTCTCTTTTATAAATAAAATTGTCAGAAGCTGTATTTTAGGAAAAGTCACGTATAGACACCCAATAAAATAAAATAAGATTATACCAATGAATATCACATTATATGCGATTTCTTTCAATAAACAAAATATCATATGAAGTTAGAAGTCCAAAAACAAAACCTTGTATTATGTGGTAGAAAGGGACAATTTTGAAGCATTATGGGCACCAACTACTAGTTTATTTGATATGCATTCTGGTGGCATACTATTTTATACATTTCTTAGAATAGTTTATTTAGGTCCTAAAGTTTAGTGTAATTACCTTTGTTCCAATAAAATTAGAAACTAGTATTTTGATCCATGTTAGCCGTTAGGTAGCCCTTTTGTCCCTTAAAATGGAAGAATTAAACAAAATGAGGGACCAAAGTACCCTAAACCTTAGGGGCTCAATATATCTCTTTCTCCCACCCAATTGGGCATTGTTCTTACATATGACCCTCCTATATTAATTTCTTTTATTCTCACACCCAAATGTAGGTACACCTAATAGTTCCATTTATGAGGGTTAAAAACACTTTGCCCCCTTGAGGTTTGTCATAATCATAGACGAATTATAAAAATGAATATATAGACACTTTCCCCCCAATTGTTAGTGAGCATTAGGCAAACTTAATCTTAGACGGCTTATAATTTCATCATTCTACACAAGTCCATAGGGACTATTAGCAGCAATGTGTCATGACTGGCCAATGGAGTGAAGGTGAGCAAGAAGAGAGGCTCGACTTTCATAATCTAAGTAAAAAAAAAAAAAGAAGCATATGTCTAATGACATCCCAACAGTTAGAAAGCAAAGGTCAAATGTAAAAAATTTCGTATCTTTTAGTTATAGTAGCCAATAATTAGACATGTCGATATCCCTTAGATTGTTCTTATGTGTAGGGCTATAGCAGTCAATTCATCAATCTTCCAGCTTTAGAGGGCAAAATGGGCATTACACGTTGACATGTTACTATTCAATTAACTTTGCCTCGACGTTCACGAACCGTTGAAGGGCAAAAGTGTCTACTTATGCATCTTCATAATCTATGAAGTATGACAAACCTCAGGGGAGCAAAGGTAATTAACCCCATTTTAGACCTTCAAACTTGGAACTCAACCTGAAGAGTCCCAAATATGGGGACCCTTAGCCAACACAAAAAAATTGACTGATTGACCCATCAGTCGCTGATTGGCAGTTGAAGCTGAGTTTTTTAACAAGCTAAAAATGGATTGCATTGAATTTTGAGAACTTAAAATCTAGAAAGGTTGGTCTGTCTAACATAATTTTCTGATGATCCTTTCCCCCCCTTAGAACGTTTGGTTGCAATTCACCTCCTCACCCGGTTTCCCCAACACAAATTCTCACAAATCTACTGGTCAATCCAATACAAAATCTCTTCTTCCTTTGTTTTGTCAAACCCTTAACCGACACCAGTCCTTCACCTCTTCTTCAACGTCTAAACTTGTGGGGTATTAAAGAATAATTTCTTTTCACTGCTACATACCTAGAATCTTTCTTCATCTCTTTTCATTTCTTCTCTCCCACACCCCCTCCTCCATCCACACCACACCACACCACACGCCCGCACCCCCCCCTCTCTCTTTCTATACCCATATCTCTTTTTTCACTTCATTTTAAGATTACAATGCTAGATTTTCATGACCCCATTTTACCATTGTTTCATCATATTTCAATACATTTTGTGAAAAAAGCTTCAAGTTTATCAAATGGTTGCTGTTTTCCGTGCACAAGTTTTGCTGCCAAATGGAATACAAGAGGTTAGTCATTCTTCTTTTATATATTTTGAAAGCGTTGAAAATGTTTTGTTTTCTTGATTTCTTTGTTGCCATTTGTTAGTGAATGTTGAATATTGTTCTGTGAAAGATTATACCTTATAATAAGATGATTATATTGATGATTATTTGTATAAAATATAAACTTTTGTGTTCATGTTAAAGGCAAAAGAAACCAAAACCAATAAACCAATTAAGCCGGCGAGGCAGTGACCGAACAAAACTCAGGGAAATTTGAAACTCATTTTCAGAATTTATTTTCTGTATAAAACTCAATTTGCATCAGGGTTTGATAGAAGAATGAACAGATGAAGAAAGGTAGGTTTGAAGAGTAAAACATGCATAACCAAATATTTTTGCGCGTAATACATAGTGCATTAGAAGAAAATAAATGTTTTTGCATGCCATAATATAATATATAGTTTTATTTAATAGTAATGGTTGATAAAATATTTGTTTCCCTTTGTCACAAAATTTTGGGTGACATATTTTTCAAATTTAGTCAATAATGAGTATATTAATTCTTTTTTGTGAAAGAAAAATGTAATCCCACTTTGATCAACAGAAAATTCTAACTTTCTTCATTTATACTAAAAGGGAAAAATATAAATAATAAAAGAAATAAGAACAAAAAAGATAAAAAGATCAAGTACCCTTTAATTAATTTTTTGTATTAATAACTTTGTTTTTGTTCTCTTTTGGTATATGATATGATGTACTAGAAAGTTGAAAACATGATATGAAAGGGTTGCTTTTAATTTTCCACAACCCCATATAATCAAACACTCCCAAAACAAAAAAAAAAAAATTCTACTATATATTAAATTAAAAAAATTTCATAAAAAAATAAGAATTAAATAAAAATATTCCTTTAATTTTAAAATACAAGAGAATATAGTATTGATCGATAGATTATTGTAGAGTTTTATGTGTAAAATATATTTGTATAATAAGGTGCAAAGGACTTGACCGTTAGGATTCATTCTTAATAGAATTAAATTAATGGGCTGAATAGATAGAAAAAGTTGGAAATTAGATTGTGGAACAAGGTACAACAGGACCTACAAAATTAGTTTACAACAAGTCAACCATCTACCAATCACATATTCAACTCTGTGACTGGTAGTTTCGGGTTGAATTGACGGTCAGATATTAGTCTCTGGATTTTAGGTCAAAGATTATCTACTGTCTACTCATCATCATCATAACCCACTTGATGATTGTTTAATTCGGAATTAATTGTCATTAATTCTCTTAATTCTTCTAAGTCCAAACCTTGTTTTGACATTTTCTTAGTGGATTGTTTTATAGTTTCGTTTTGAATGTTAGTTCAGATTTATTTCATAACGATCTTCTTGAATAATATTGTTGAGTTAATTTAGAATTTCTAGTTTGAGCGCACCATATCATTTAATTTCTATCTCACCTAAATATTTATCATTTTTTTTTAAGAACTTTTTCCATCACTTAGAAATAGAGATAGAAAGTTGGTGGAGATCTTTTTTCTAGCTGGGAATAAGCTATAGAGGGGTTAGTATATTGTTAGGTAATGTTACCGTCATTCCATATGCACCATTGAATCAGCCACAAAGCACACATGAGTGGCTAATCTGATGGCAATAATAGGCCTCTCATATGGCTAAGGTAACGTTACCCGTATCATAATATTATACCGTGTGATTGTTTCATTTGGGCCAAATCTATGTTACCCAATTAGTAGGCTGGGTTAAGGCCCACTTGTTAAAGTTCAAGTCACGGGCCTTCAGTGGATCGGATCTCTTAGTAAGATTTGGCTGGCCTAAAGATGTTGGACCATTTTAGTTCAAGATTGATGGAGCATCCATGGGCCTTTTTTCTATATAGCCAATAGCCGTTTAAGATTTTAAGTAGAATTTATTGATAATTTGATGTATGAAATAGACATTTTCATACATAAAATTAGAACTCACAAACGCGTAATTATATGAACAATATTTGATTTTTTTTTTTTTTTTTTAACACTATTAGACCTTTGCTTAGTCAATTAAGCTTCTAATTAGTGTGACCAAGTTGCTGATGTTTTATTATCAATGTTTCAGGAGGTTAATTTTGCTTCCATATGCAAGATCTTCATGCATCAATGGAGCTTAATTTCCGGAAAACATCAATGGTGATGCCGTGTTCCATTGAAGATCACGGTCAGCTGCTGCCAAATTGTCATCACTGTGAGTTGTTCTATTCTCATCTAAGTTATCTGTTAATTAATTTCACATATATAAACCATGATGACATGTGATTGGAAACGTTCATTTATCTTTATTTGTTAGATTCTAGTTTCTTATAACTCTAAGGATTCCATGCCATAAGTATGTAGAAAGATTAATTAATTTCATGCATGGAGATGTGTTCCTTGACATCAAATATGCTTGATAAACAAGTGCTTATATGAGTTAAAGTTTACGTAGTAGAAGAAAAACTCTGGACTTGAAGCTTTAGAAATTTAATTCCCATGTTAATTACAAATCTAGCTATTAAAATATATCGTAGCATAAATTTAATTATCCGGAGGTCAAAACTCAGAGAACAACAATCATTCAACAACCAACATATATATATATATATATAACGTTAGTAGCCTTTGAGTTTGCTAAGTTCAAACTAAATAAGAAATATGTGATTAAAACTTTTTGGTCGTAAGAACCTAAATTAGAGACCATAAAAAAAAAAAAAAAATCCTAAAAGATAAAATTTAAAAGCAAAGCAAAACTTAAACGAAAAAGATAATGGCCTCAAACATACATATATCATATAACTGAAATTCAGTGATATATTAACCTCATCTATTTTTATTTTTATTTATTTATTTATTTTTTGCTTTAAATTGATTCACTTCATAATGCTGCATATACAAAATTAGGATTCCGATTTTATATCCTAACTCATGTGATAATTGATTTACTTATTCAATTATTGTATAATTAAGAAAATATTGCAAGAATCAACTGTCTCATGGGTTAGGATACAAAGTTGAGATTCAAACTTTGCATATATAGCATTATATTGTTTTATTTATAAGTTTGTGTTTGTATTATTACGTAACATTAGTTCTATGAATAGATATAGATATATATATGTTTGTGTAAAATCTAATAAACTAGATCCATTTCAGCATGAAGGTACTGTTTAAATTAAATTTAATATATATATCACGTAGTTTTAAGTTCAGTTATTCATAAAATGAAGATTTTTAGGAGGAAAAAGAGAGAAATTGAGTTTTACGCATGAGATTGTATCCAAACTGTATTTCGAAACTCTAAATTAATTTCATTAATTGATTCATATACGTTGTTGGAAACCATTATCACACCATAAACCAAAAGCTCCCCCCATAACTTTCAAGAAATCAGTCTTCTACTGAAAACATCAAAGGACATGTAGTAGAACTTTATAAAAACGTAAGACTTGGTGCAATATTAATTATTTCTACACATAAACACTTGTGACAACTATAATATATGTTCGATGTTTGATTTACTTAAAACTTTTCGAATATGTATTGACATGCATTCAGGGTTCTATTTCGGTATTAGGCTGTTAACTCACTCAACCTTTGAGAATCTCAGGTGGCTTGGTGCTCACATTTAATGATTCTCAAAAGGCTGATAAATTTAACCGAATACCGTAGTTAAACCTTGAATGTGAAGAAAGTTAGCTAAAGAACATAAAGCTGTCATGCACTAGGTTATTGTAATTTTTAAGATCTTTGTTGCTCCTTCTCTAATATTGTTATATTAGAGCATATGTGTTGAAATGTGCAGACTGACTATAAGAAAGTGATACGATATTAGGGGCAATGTTATCTTTGTACCAATCATTAGATTTCTTTAATAGTCAAGAAGTCGAAGATCGTTTGAAAGGAATCTAATGGTTCGTATGAGGTGATGTTAACTATAGTACCATATTTATGAGAAAGTTATAATACAACGATGGTATTTTGATGTTGTATCATCAGACAATGCATGCAAATCAAGTAGTTATTACGTTGGATACATACCAACCACAATAAGTTTAAAATTCAGATGTGACATAAATTTACTAGGAAATGGTATTCTAAATTTTGTCTGTATCTATAGTAATGGATGCATGCAAATAGATACCATGAATTATAGACTTCGTATTGAACTCCTTATATTTATAACTAAGTATTTTTGCACACCTTGCTCATAACATAAGCTCTAGAGAAGTAATGTGTTATAATTATAGCACATCATTCAACCAAACTCACACATCAAAAACCTTACAAAACGAAAAGAAAGAACTCAAGAATTAATAGCAAAACTCACAAGAAATGCTTTAGTCGTTTTTTAAGGGTTAAAACTCTTGCCAGCTGCACAAACACTTGAAGCAGAACCTGTCTAATAAGATTTAGCAGGAATTGCTTCATCTTTTTGTTCATAAACTTCTGAGTTACACTTGTGTTCATTTAAGGATACTGTGACTCTTTCTTCTCGCAGATTTGGTATTTATCTAGTAATTCAACCATTATTGGCAAGCCTGGCAACTCTTATAAAATTTCAATCATTCCCTGTTCGAAATTGGCTTTAGACAAATTAAGAAAGAGACCTTTAAAATACGTTCTCTTACAAGATGCTATATAATATAAGGTCATTTCGTGGAGTTCTGAATAATCTTAAACACCTCTGACTTATACATATAGACTCATTGAACGCATATAATATCTTGTTCTCGTTCTAAATTTTGTCATAAATTAATATTGTAGCGTGTATGTGACGAAAAAGCTTAATTGTGGGCAGGATAACTAGATATATATATGTAGGGAAATTCAAACTTCTTCTTTCCGTATTCATATAGTTTATACTGAAATGCAAAAACAATATATATGCACTAAATTGAAAATTATAGTTGAACTGAGTAATGGAAATTGGAACCAATATTTATATAGAGGCTTACAAACATGACATATTGGATTGATTGTATAATGAAATTACATTCAAACACACCTCTAGATTGATACAACATATTGTTCCACTTGTGATTTTTTTCTACAACATATATATTTTTACAAATGCAACACAGTTGCACTGAAAATGATATCATCAAGAAGTGGAACAAGAACACAAAATCAACACATACATGAAAAAATTAAAAAAAAAAAAAAAACAAACAAACAAACAAACAAACAAACCCTATTATTCTCATAATCTAATTAAAAACAACTCCAATCTCATCATATTTAGTGGAAGCAGTGACGCAGCTATTCAACACGATCATTCACCACCTTCTTGTGCTCATTCTGGCTAAATGAAGATGCCATTAACGGAGATTCCCAACTGGCTCCCAGCCCAAACGCCGTTGCCGAAATCGAAACCAAAGGATCAGGAAGCTGTGCAGTGTTCCCTGTTGGCTGATTATGTTGTTGTTGTTGTTGCAACTGTAATGCTTGGTGTTGTGCAGCAAATGCATCTTCATTGATCAATGAATTGAGAAACGAAGACAAAACGTCGTCGCTACAGTAATTAATATCTTCATCTTCTTCATTGTGATGATGGCCAATGTTTCTCAATCCCACAACCCTAGATTCATCCTCACCATTCAGCAAACCTGTGTAGCCGTTACCGGTCTCATGATCCAGCTGCTGATGCTGCTGAGAAGTGTTCATCATCATCAATGTAGTATCATTATGATGATCTTCCAAATGCGAAGAAGAAATGACAGGATTAGAATTAGGGTTAGGGTTTGTTCTGCGATTCGCTTTGGATGATGAAGAAGATGCCTTATGAGGATTCGCCTCAGCCGAAGAAGATTGATTTTGATGATCATTGTTATTACTTAATGGCTTGTGGGTTCTTGGATCTATCCCTTGACTTATCAGCTTCTTACTCAGGTGAGTGTTCCAGTAATTCTTTATCTCGTTATCCGTTCTTCCGGGTATTCTCCCAGCTATCAACGACCACCTTCAAAACAAAAACAGAAATAACCCATTTTACATCTTTACAAAAAAACCCTAAATACTGAAACCTAACCTTTTTGTCATGGTTTTTTTTTTTTTTTTTTAGTATAATTACCGGTTGCCGAGAAGGCGATGGAGGCGGAGGATGAGATCTTCTTCATCGGGGGCGATCTGGCCTCGTTTAACGGAGGGGCGGAGGTAGTTCATCCAACGGAGGCGGCAGCTCTTGCCGCAGCGGAGGAGGCCAGCGCGTTTGGGGAGAGTTCGCCAGCGGCCTTCGCCTTCTTTCTTGATGTAGTTGGAGAGAAGCTCGTCTTCTTCCGGCGTCCAAGGCCCTCTCTTTAACCCTACCTTGCTGCAACACGGAGTTTTAGTTGTGGTGGTGGTGGTGGAGGAGGTGGCCGCAGCAGCCGCTGATGCTGACGTGGATGGTTTCCTCATGTTTAGCCTCTTTGAAGATTTTGGATTGGATCGATGGATGGATCTTGAAAATGTGAAATGCTTTGAGTCGAGTTGAGTCGAGTTTGAGTTGTGTTTGAGAGCTGATGGAATTTGATTGGCGGCTTTATCTTTTTCTTTTGATAATTTATTTTGTTTTTGTTTTTTATTTTTGTGTGTTTTTGTTTTTATTGTCGGTTTTGTGTTATTGTCGCAATGAAGTTTGTAGCAAGGTTGATGTGTTTTGAGATGAGGGGCCGTGCGTTCACGCGTTTGGGTGGAGTGTGGTTGACGCGCTCAAGATGTGGAAGATTGAAAGTACGGATATAATTTATGGTGAGTATGTTGACACTTAATAACATATTGGGGAGATTTAGATATTATCAAACATTATCATCAAAGATAAGGTTATCCAAATAAATTATAAAATTAAGAAATTAATAATATAATTAATTTTACTGATTTTTATAGAAGAGTGTTTTCTCTTTTGATGTAGGACTGATAAAATAAATAAATAGATTTTTAATGTTTGATTTATTATTGAATATTTTTATTATTTATTTTGAAATAATTTATGTTAAAGAAGTAAATTTTATCTCTTCAAGAAGATTGGATTCAATTAGAAAGAAACAAATTTAATAATTAAATTTCATTGATTAGAAGGTAATTTTTCTTAAGTAAACTCAATTATCTAATATTTTGTGTCTATTATTTCTTAATCTTTTAAAACTACATTTTGACTAAATTATGAACACTGTTTGTAATAATTGTTAAACTCCAAAATTCATGGACCAATAATTTTGGCTTCCTTAATACAAATATACAATTATTAAAGGAGAGTGAGTCCACTCGCGTGGAGTGCGTGTGGGAGTGTTATGAACAAAGGAGAATGTAACATGGGTGGCTGAAATGGGGACCAGAGACACCTGGCAAGAAATAAGAGGAGAATAGCTACACCACCAAAACGGAGAACTTGTATTTGAAGTTACTAGTTAATGTTACTTACCCTTTCACCTCTCTACCACCTACTTCCTCACGAGGGATTCTAATCTACCAAAATACCTACTTCCTCTTCCTCTACTTCAATTCTCTCCATCTTTCTTCGTTACGGATTTTGAAATCGGCTATCTAATATTATTAATATGTCATTTATGACTTTAAAATTGATTATCTAATACCGATAATCAGAATGAAAATCTAAGATTAACATTTTGAGAGTCGGAACTAGATTGAAATTGGTTGATATTTTAGAACTGGATTTAATCGAATTATATATAATGTTATCTTATGTTTGGAGTATTGTGAGATTGGATAAAAATACATATAATAGAATAAAAAAATTAAATGTAGTTTAATATTTCTATTTAATTTATTAAATACTCACTAACATTTTATTTATAAAAATAAGAAAGAAAGAAAATATTATATTAGATAACTAATTATAATTATATATATTAAATTAAAAGTATGTTAGACATTTAAAAATATTATATTTATGTTATGATTAAAATTTAAAAAAATTATTATATAATATTTTATAAAAATAATATTAACTTAATTTCAATTTTATACCACTCTGTGGACTCTTTGTTTCAAATGATTAGGACCAGGGAGAAGAATAGGACTAAAATTTAGTTCAGTCCGTTCTGTATTTAGCAGCCCAAACATGGGCTTGGATTGATTTTTAAAATAAATAATCCCATTCTCTCTTTAGCAATCCAAAAATGGGCTTAGATTGATTTTAGAAATAAATATTCTTGTCCCAAACATACCCTCAGGGATATTGGGTACCAATATTAATTGTAGCAACAAAATCTAGAGTCCAATAAATCTTTGTGTTGATATTCAAGTCCTACACTCCTACTCAATCTCTTTATAAGTTCTAAATTTAATTAATAAAAAAATATATATTCAAATGGATTTTAAATTATTTCAAAAATTATTATTATTATTTTAATATTTTTAACCTATGTCTCTTCTTTCTAATCATGGTGAGAAACGAGAAAATAACCCATATTTGTTTAACTTTTCAAATTCTATTCTATTCTATAAAATAGAAACCATGTTTGTTTTAATATTGATTATTCAATTCAATTCTATAATATTCAACTCAAAATATTTAATAATTACCTTTTTTCAATAAAAGTTCATAAATTAACAAAAACATCACCACCCACCCAAGCAATAGTCGCTCACCAGCAACCACCATCGGTCATCGCCACTATCGAAACGATTCACGATAGGCCAGATCTAGCCAATCGGGCCGTTTTTGGCCAGAGATCTAGCCATCACAGGCAGATTTGACTGTTAACAGCGAGATCTATCTAGCCGTTGATGATGGCCAGATTTATTTGGTCGTTGACAACGGCCAAATTATGGTTGTAGATCTAGCCGTTTTCGGCCAAATACGCGATGGATCTAGTTGAAAAATGCCAAATCGATGCACGACCGGCTAGATTCAATCGATCGTGCGTCATTCTCAAAATCCTATCCTATTTGATTAAATCCTATCATATCTTATTTAAAATAGAATATTATTTCAAATAATGTACCAAACAGACCCTAAATAATTGATTTTTTTTTTAAAAAAAAAAAGAAAAAAGAAATCATTTATTTTTTTCCTTCTTATTTGATTAATTTAATTTAGGAAAATATAAATAAGGTGCACACATATATTTTTCTTGCATGCTGATGACTTTGCTAAAAAAATTTCATCAATAATATTGACAGTGGAATTTGTTGAGTTTCAGGTGGCGGAGACAGCAGTACAGCTTGGGATTCTGGTGGTTGCTGATGAAATCTAAGGGCACTTTACCTTTGGTAGTAATCCGTTTGTGCTTATGGCAATGTTTGGTTCTATATCAAAGAGATGGTCTGTTCCAGGTTGGAGAATCGGTTGGCTAGTGACATGCGATCCTAGTGGCGCCCTTCAAAAATCAAGGGTTCTCTCTCTTTCTCTCCATTTTAATTAATCACCAAGAGTTCTACATATAATACATATATTTAGTCTCTCATGTTATAGTCCTCATCTCTAAAAGAAATATACACTTTAAAATGACGATGATTTCTACTGATAAACACAACAAAAATCAATCAAACTTTCTCGTATTAAAATTGGTAAAATTTTGTCTTTTAATTTTTATGAACATCATATAATGATGAATTTTAAAAAGGTGCAGACATCCACTACACTTAAATGATATTAAGTAAGAAATACGTGTCAAACCATTCCACAAAGTTACTATAACCATTGAACGTGCTTCTGTTTCCTTCTAAATTGTCATTCTACGATTAAAACATTTAACTATGCATACATCTATCCAAGACATAGTCAGAATTTCTAGCGAGTAGGTTCAAAACATTTAAGTTGATAAATTTATTATAAAATTTTGTGGGGTTAAAATTATAAATACTAAATATAAAGTTTTTTTTTTCAAAGTTTAAGTGAGTTCATATAAATTTAAGTGTGGTTAAAATTGTAAATACTAAAATATAAACTCTTTTTTTTTTTTTTTTTTTTTTTTCAAAGTATTAGTGATCATTGAACTCATATATTATATGTAATACGTCCCTACATCTATTTATGGATAGATATTAATGGACTGTATAATAATTTATACGTAATTTTTTTCTCTCTCAGATGTTGAGTGTATAAAATCTTGCCTGAAAATCTCCTCAAACCCTGTAAACATTATCCAATGAAATTTTACTCAAAAATGGATGGAGCAATTGCGAAAATTTCATAAAAGCATACAAACCAAGTAACAAAACTCAATGAAACTCAGACTTTCCCATAATTCCCGCACTAACAAGTCAATGAAACCAAAAGTTTTCCATTTTAAACACAGAAGAAAGAGCAATAGGATTTAGTAGAATTATAAGATTTAATCGTCTAAGACTTCATCTTTACAAAAGATTAAAGATTTACCTATAAACGCACAAGCACAGCGTTGGATCTTCGATCAATGGTCAAAGACTTCACTGTAGAAATAAAAATATTTTCAGATTAATAACAACGTAATGTACCCTCTTGAAAAATCTTTCTATTTATAAGCTGGTTCAAGATATAAACATATAAATAAAAATTAACGTTGATTACATTGTTTCAATATAATTTGTTTATAAAATTTATAGGTAATTAAGGGACATTATACTTTAGGACTATTTTTTTCAAACCAATTAAAAGGACCCAAGTTCTAAAACTCTAGAAAGAGCCACTTAACAATCAATTATAGTTAAAATTAACACTTAATTTGTCTAATTACTGATATACCCTTATATTTAAGAAGGATACATATCAAAAAAAAAAAAAAAAAAAAATCTTATCCTTAATCAAATATATAATTATGTTTTTGTCATTAAATAAAGATAACAATTACATCTATTATTTACCCGACATGGGGCCCGCACGTTACACATGTATGTTTATTCAATGTTTTGAAATAGGTCGTAAACAAATTTATTCTAACAAAGTAAACTAATTAGATTAAGACATAATAATTATTAAATTATACAAATTTTAAAGTAAATATAAATCATATATTTATACAAAGTTGTGTTAAGATAAAATTAATAATTGTATCTGTATAATTATTAATATCAATTATAGATAGATGTCATTAAATCATTCATCTAATTTGAAAAGATCACCTGAATATTATATGGTCTAATTATATTTTCAGGGTTATCACCTTGTACAATTGACATTATTTTTGCAGACATGTCTTTAATATTCAATGTCAGTATTTTGTAGTGAATCGTGTATGATATTTAATATCACCTGAATATTATCAAGATAAACTATTTAAACTTAAAATTTATACTGACCTTCTGCAATTTCTGTAACTTTTATTTATTTTCAAGTTGCGTTGCGCGAGTATGTTTATTTATTTATTTATTTTTTTACATTATTATTGATTTTTTTGTGTTTTAAATATATATTTTTTGTATAATTCATTTCATATTGAATTGATAATTAAAAAATCAATAAATAAAATATCCACAAATTGAACTCAAAGCATCATCATGATTCTTCTCAAATATGTCACCATTTGACATCTGCAACCAAAGTTTAAAACTTTGTCAAGAAAAGTAAAAAAATATGCAGGATAACCCACTAGTTATTATTGATAAGTTTATAAATTAATCAGAGAAAGAGAAACATTGTTGAAAAATGTAAACTTTTAAGCAAG